GGGGAGTGGGTCTGCAGAGGGGAGTGCAGGGACACCAACGGGGCTTTGGGCACAGGGCAGGGCACAGCCCCGGCCTCCCCAGCCCCCCTGCCAGGGCCGGGTCTGTGGGGTGACCCCAGGATGGCTTCTCCTGCTCTCGCCATGGCAGTGGGGCCACTTGGATCCCCCTTTCTCTGGCCAGGGATTGTCATCCCATCTCATGGCTGATGGAAGAGCCTCTCTTACTGACCCTCTTCCCCATACAGCCCTCGCAGATGGAGCTGAGTCACGTCGTTCCCTTTCAGGTTATTACTGACTAAACTCCAGGAGCCTTCCAGTGCTCTCTTGGCTCTTCCAATCCCCCCACGGCTCTCCCAGTCCCCCCAGTGCACCGCAGTAGAGCCGGGTCATCCACGAGGCTGCCGGCCCATGCCCTGTCTCTCTGCCCTCCTTGAAGCACTTCATGCCCAGACTTCTTTCAATTCCCTGGGTCTTAAGCATATGCTTGCAGTTAATCCTGTGCTTACATTTTATCCCAGATAGGAAGAATTGGGGTCTCTGGGCAAATTGTCCTGCTGTTCCAGGCAGCTGAAGGGCTCCCTCTAATTCAACCAAGCAGTAATCCTCTCTCTCCCTGCTCCCCTCCTCCTCCCTCCCTCAGTTCTTCCCTCTCCTCCTCCTTCTCCTCAAGGGCTTTTGGGGTTTTGCTCCTTTCCCCTTCTTTCCTTCCTTCTCGCACCCCGGGGAATCAGCGGGCAACCCCCCTAATTTCCAGGGCAAAGGAAGCCTGGGTGCTTCCCAAGGGTGTCCTTCCCCTCCCCGCTCCTGCACAAGGAGCCACCTGGGAGCGCAGGGAATTACAGTCTGTGCAGGGAATTATAATCTGTGCGGGGATTTATCACCCACCTGGCAAGGGGCTGCCCTGGGCAGGCACAGGCGTGGCTGGCGGGGGGGTACAGCCGTGAAATGGGGTGTGGATCTGGGCTGGGAGGTGTGGGACTGAGGGGACAGTCGCCCACTCGAATCCCGGCACGGCAGCTGCCGGCTGACGCTAGCCCAGCGCGCTGTCCCCGTGCAGGCTCCGGTGTCCCGGCTGCCGGCATGGCGCATGCCCCTGCTTTGCCCTTCACTTTTGGAAGATGCTCCAGGGATGCGACAGGAGAGGGAGAAATTGGGGCTGTGAGGGGATTTGGGGGGGAGCAAAGGATGCTCCTTGTCCTGGCTCCCTCCTCTGCCCCATCACTCCAAATCCTGATGTGTTTTTCCAGGCTTTCACGGCAGCACTGTTCGTTAATTATAACACCAACAGTTAAACGTGCAGCCAAAATTAACCCTCCTCAGCCTGGGCTTTCTGCCACGCCATCCCGAGGGAGGCCCGATGGGAGCTGCAAACCTGGGAAGGACTCGGTGACATTAAACCCAGTCACGGACGTTGTTTCCCGACAAGAGCCACATCCCACTCGGAAGCGGCAGGAAAAGACGAGAGGATTCAGCCCCGGGATGTGGCATGCTCGGCGGGCAGCAGCCCAC